TATAATAACAAGCTAAGAAGGATAAGTAATAAATAAAGGATAAGTAACTGAAAAGCTGGAGGTGAGGCTGTTTTAAGAATTTTGTCACCACAAGATAAAGGAGTACAAAAACATTTTTTTTAAATATGACTACTGCTACCCACTAATATTGTTCTTCTATTTTACTTTTATTTGCAAAAATATTATTCAGAGTCTCTTTCCATTAACTAAAACAAAGTGTTAGCCACTGAAAATCACTTTACCTTACTGGCATGTGCTGTTTCTGAAAACTGTCTTGAACACATTGCTTTATTTTTATAAATAAGAAAAAGTGGTGTATCATATCCTGTGCAACAATAATAAAAATTATGAAATTAAAAATCTGTGAGGCACTAAACAAAAACAAAGTTGTTTATTTTACTTACTTACATTAGTCATGTGGTGTCCTTCAATTAACGAAATCATTTTTAGGTCCAATTCAAACATCCAAGTGAGTTCTACCAGTTGTTTGTTTGTTGTTTACTAGAGTTTCAGCTCTGATTTTTTTGTGTTTTCAGCACATTTTAAGTCAGATTTCAGATTACAATACATTCATTCTGTGGTGAAATATGTATGAGCAATTCAATGTTTTAATAAGAAGGCTAAATACTGTAAATTGCGTGACTAAAATTCACATTTTTTGAACTTCTCATTAAAACATTTTTCACTCGTAATTTGCCATGATGCTCATAAATTGTTGAGCAAATTACCAGACTTCTGTCCCTTTAAATCTTTATTTGACATTTCAGCTAAATTGTCTTTATGAGTGGTTATTTCAGGCTCATTGTTACACATTATAAGCACAAAGTTGGGATGAAGTCTGCATGGTGACTTAGTAAATAATATTCTCACCTCCTCCTGAGACGGTTGATATGATTTGGATCTCAGCTCATGTTTGTGTGGAGTTTCTCCAAATACATGAATGTTTTCCCTGGACTCTCTGATTTTCTTACCACAAACAAACAAATTAACCAAAAATGTCAAATTTTGAGTTGTCAGTAAGTTTTGTTGTATGAGGCTGTCTTTGTCTCTGTTGGCCCTGATAGACCTTTTCTTTTCTTTTCTTTTCTTTTCTTTTCTTTTCTTTTCTTTTCTTTTCTTTAGTAAGGGTGATGACCCACGAAACCACACTTTCTTCAAGAACATCAATTTCCATCGACTGGAGGCAGGACTGGTGGAGCCACCCTGGGTGCCAAAGCCAAACGTGGTCTATGCCAACGATGTCGACGACTTTCGGGACAACTCCGAGATCAAGGACGTCAAACTCGAACCTAAGGACGAGAAATTCTTCAAGGAATTTAGCACAGGTGCYGTGTCCGTTCAGTGGCAGAAGGAAATAATTGACAGCGGGGTATTTGACGAAATGAATGACCCTGAACTGAACGGACACGACCACATGGCCATGTGGGGCTCCAGGTTGTGCATCATTCTGTAAGCATCTCATCTGACCATCCTGCAGAGCTGAGATCTTTCACAGTTGACAAGCAGCCAAACTGGATTAATCCATATTATCATTCTAAGTGCAATGTGCTCAATTAAGCTGCTTAGAAATCTTTTAAGCCTTCGCCTTTGCCTTTGTTCTTTAAGTTCCTGATGGAAAAATAAGACCAAACGTAACCAAACATCAGAAAGTGCAAATGAAAACTTTGCCCTTTGTTCCTGGTTAGATAGTACCAGTACATTCAGTTTCCATTACATCACTTGGTCATTTTGACAGGAAATTGTTTACATGTTAAAAAAAGGCTGCAAAATGGTTGGAGGTCAGTGACCTGGAGCTTTATTATTTTCAGTTTTTGCAGTTGAATTAAAAATATATATTTACTGATTGAGCATCAAGCAAACACCATAAGGGCCTTTTTTACTTTTAAACACACAGTCGCATGCAGTTTCATGGATGTGAAGCGTCTCAATAGCTCACATCCACCACTAAGTGCCGCCAGATACCAACAAAGTGCCTTTATCCTCCTCCTCATCATCACCCCAATTATCTTGACTGTGTTGCTCAGGTATTTACAAGCATTTAGTCCTTCATTTAGCCATCAACAATAAATTCAGAAAAAAAACAATGTCCCCCACACAAATCATTTCCCCACCCAAGCACAAGTATTCACGGCAGCCTTTTGATTTATAGCTTTCACAACTTTTCACGTCTCACACAGTTTAAAGCTTCAACCTCTGGACTCATGAAACATCTTCAGCTAACAGAGGTCCAGTTTGTTTTTAAACTCATAGGATTAGCTTTCATGAGTTGGATGGACTGTGTAGTTTTTCTGTAAGCCTAACAAAAGGCTTTAAGGAGGAGGAGATCCTTGCTCTGTGGTTAAAAGCTGTGGCTCGTTTATCTGGGCCCTCTTCAGCTGGGTCTTGAGTATTAGCTGCCTGTTGTGACGTCACATGACTTTCACTCTCTTGACTGTAGTTATCTGCCTTTTCTAGTTATAAAGATGTCTTAACTGCAGATATTCATCTGGATGGTGTTTAATATCAAAATAAAAATTTAAGAGATGTTGAACTTTCTTTTAGGCATACAGCGGGTAAAATAAGTATTGAACATGTCACCATTTTTCTCAGTAAATACTGCATATTACTAGAGGTGCTAATGACATGAAATTTTCACCAGATGTCGGTAACAACCGAAGTGATCCATACATACAAAGAAATCAAACCATAAATGTCCAGAAATGAAGTTATTTGTAATAATGTGGAATGGCACAGCGAAAAAGTATTGAATACACTTACTGAAATTTATCTAATACTTTATCCATGTACAAAAGCCTTTGTTGTCAATGACAGCTTCAAGACGCCTCCTGTATGGAGAAACTAGTGGCATGCATTGCTCAGGTGTGATTTTGGCCCATTCTTCCACAAACAGTCTTCAAATCTTGAAGGTTTCGTGGACCTCTTCTATGAACTCTGATCTTTAGTTCTTTCCATAGATTTTCTGTTGGATTCAGGTCAGGTGATTGGCTGGGCCATTCCAGCAGCTTTAGTTTCTTTCTCTGAAACCAACTGAGGGTTTCCTTGGCTTTGTGTTTGGGCTCATTGTCTTGCTGAAATGTCCAGCCACGTTTCATCTTCATCATCCTGGTAGATGGAAGCAGATTTTTATCAGGAATGTCTCTGTACATTTTTCCACTCATCCTTGCTTCAATTATTTGAAGTTTGCCAGTACCATATGCTGAAAAACAGCCCCACACCATGATGTTCCCACCTCCAAACTTCACTGTTGGTATGGTGTTTTTGGGCTGATGTGCAGTGTCATTTGCCCTCCAAACATGATGTGTATTCTGGCATCCAAACAGTTCAATGTTGGTCTCATCTGACCAGACTATATTCTCCCAGTATTACACAGGCTTGTCTAAATGTTGTGCAGCAAACTTTAAAGGAGCTTCAACATGCTGTTTCTTCAGCAGTGGAGTCTTGYGTGGTGAGCGTGCATACAGGCCATGGTGGTTCAGTGCATTACTTATTGTTTTCTTTGAAACAATCGTACCTGCTAATTCCAGGTCTTTCTGAAGCTCTCCACAAGTGGTCCTTGGCTCTTGRACAACTCTTCTGATAATTCTTTTCACTCCTCTGTCAGAAATCTTGTGAGGAGCACCTGGTCGTGGTCGGTTTTTGGTGAAATAATGTTCTTTCCACTTCTGAATTATGGCCCCAACAGTGCTCACTGGAACCTTCAGAAGTTTAGACATTCTTCTGTAACCGATGCCATCATTATGCTTTGCAACAATAAGGTTGTGAAGGTCTTGAGAGAGCTCTTTACTTTTACCCATCATCAGATGGTTCTTGTGTGATACCTGGCCTTCATTTGGGACTGAACCAGCTGATATTAACTTGCACTGACAAGGGGCAGGCTTGTTTTCTAATTACTGAGAGAGTTCAGCTGGTGTGTTGGCTTTCCATGCCTTTTTACACCTCCCTTTCTTCATGTGTTCAATACTTTTTCCCTGTGCCATTCCACATTATTACAAATAACTTMATTTCTGGACATTTATGGTTTGATTTCTTTGTATGTATGGATCGCTTGGGTTGTTACCGACATCTGGTGAAAATTTCATGTCATTAGCACCTCTAGTAATATATTTACTGAGAAAAATGGTGACGTGTTCAATACTTATTTTACCCGCTGTATTTACTCACACATATGGATGTCTAAAATAGCAGTTTTATTCAGTATAAAGCTGCAATTTACGTCTTTTTGACTTTGCTTTAAGTAGAAAATGATCACAGATTATAAAAGTTTATACATTTGTCTTCTGTGTAGTAGTGAATGCTGGAGTATTGGTGCAGTCAGACAGGCAGCAGCACAAGCCAAGTTGTCACATATAGCAGCCAGTATTCTGAATGTACCAGGTGACTTTAAAGTTTGCTTTGTTCCCAAGTAATAATGAACTAAATGCATGTTTTTTTTTCATTATACATTCTGAGTGCCTGATGTTATTTTTAATGAACTATAATTGTACTTTGCATGTTTAATGTGATGTATTTTGGTTTTTAGAGACTTTGTAAAACTTTCTTGACTTATGTTCCTCTTTTTCTTACATTTTTCTGCATTGAACAAAAGAAACTGAAACATAAACAAACCATTTACACAAACCCTAAACAAGGTTGTTATGAAAAAAATATATCTGGATTAATTGAAGCAAAGGTCAAAGGTCATTTCATATCACGTTWTTGCTCATCAAGAAGCAAAATGTATGGTGATTTATCAAAATATTCCAAAACCCAACCACAGCAGCATTCATTAAAACAAAGCAAAATATTATTTATAACTTTTCAGATGTCACTCACTGCCCCGCTTAAAATAAATAAATAAAAAACCCAACCTCAAACACATTTAGGTAATGAGGAACACATAAACGTGTTGTGCTAATTCCTGAGACGGGGGTGACCTTACAGAACTGAGAAGTGGTTCCATTCACGCTTTAACAGTCATGAGATTACAGGGGCGGCTCTGCTGGAAACCCAAGATGCAACCCGATCGTCGGCGGCTGCGAGGGCTGAGCGGGGAGTCCGCTGCAGGACGATGTGACGACAAGACAAACTCAGCAGAACGTCTCCAGGAAGATGTTTTCTTCCAGGGGCACACGAACCGCCGCCAGCGTTTAGTTGACAAGAGCGAGTCTGTCACATTGTGACACATTTGCACTGAGGCATGAAGACGCACAAAGTGAGCGTGAGGATTTTGTATTGTTGCTTGAGCATCGAAACCTACAGAACACTTTGAAACGTACACAGACAGAGTGGTTTTACCTCTGCAGAGGCAGGCATGGGGTTATAGAGATCAAAGCAGAGCAGGGTGTAATTTGGTATCCACGTTTGTTACATGCCCATGCTCTGGATTCACTTCAAAGGCATTTGCCACGCTTCAGTTCTGCTCAGGATGGTATCACACAAATGATGTTGCTGCTTTTTGCGTGTGGGTGCGTGGTTAACGTGTGTACGCGTGCATATGTGTGTATTTCTGAAGCAACGCAAATATTAAACTCGGGAATTTGCGTAATAGTTTGCAGTCAACTTTGAAAACCTATTGTCTTGCTGCACGAGGTGGTTTTGCTCGCTGTCAAGTACTCCAGGCTAAGAGGGTTTTTTTTTTTTTTTGGTTTAAAGTTTGTTTTTCAGTGGCTGACATTTGTTTCCTCTCTGGCAATTTTCATTCCATTTCATGTCACAAAAAATATTGACAAATTACAAGTGAGAGCGTCAGAAACTGGGCCTCTGCTGGCAGAGCTGCCACCGGGGAGACACGGCCACGCTGCCCGGGAAGTTTTTGGTTTATGTTCAATTTCCGAAGCTTCGTTGCTGGAATTCTTAACATTTCCACAAATAAGTGAGCTTCTGTGCTGTGTTCCAACAGAAACAGAGCTTGTGTGTGCATAATGTTCTACCCTGGAGGCCCAGAGGTTTGTTTCCATGGAGCTCAGGGCTCAGACCCCCACCTCCCCTCCGTGTTCAACTGGGGTCTGTCCATGATGTTGTCTAACCTTTTGCCAAGGGTTATAAACAGCGTCCTGCACAGACCTTGGTCAGACACGCACGTAACAGTGTCACACTTTTCTCTTATCTTTATGAAAATGTTTGGCCTGTTTTTATATACAAAAAAAGAGTTTTTATTTTTATCTAATGACAGCAAATGTTTTCAACAAAAATCGCTGCTAAATCATAAACTGTTGAGTTTAAATCATGGTATCAGTGTCCAATTCTATGTTTGTGTTTGCAGAGACTGTTTTAAAATACTGTCTGTCTTGACCCATGACTGCATAAAGTGAGGACTTTATGTTTATAAAACACTTTGGACAGAAAACCTAATCCTAATGCTTTACACTAATATTTACTATGGCTGTCATTTCAATGGCAAAAATACATTTTAAGGCTCAAAAATCAATAAAATACACAGTTTGAAAAATCAAATGTYACAAGTTTACTTCATATTCACTGATTATTTGCAAAACAGTAGTATTAACAGTATAATAGTATAAACAGCAGTATTTAGAACAAATAAAAGAAATTGTATTTTCTGTGAAAATACAGGGTGCTAAATGACTTTACTTAAATTTGCTGACAAAGCTATAACTGCATTGTAAAAGTTCAAATAAGCAGAAGAGAGACAAAGCCCAAGCTAAAGAGCAGAACAAATGCTTAAATTAGCAAAAACATTGTGAAACATTTTAAAACGTACTAAACTTACTAAAACCAGAGGCCATGGTTCAGTAGCCCCAGCAGAACATTTAAATTCATGCAAAGTATTTGATGCAGTTTTCCAAAAAAAAAAAAAAAACTTGATTAAGAAACTAATAAAAAAATAAAATTAATAAAACAGACTCCTTCATTATTTGGTCTCAGTCTTTTAGTATGAACTTGTGCCAGATTGTAGTTTCAGACTGCTGTATGCTGTAAAACCTATGAAAGAGCTAGTCCACATCTTAACTTAGATTGTTCACTTGTTTTGACAGTCAGCTTCCTGTAATATCTTTAATGGAATAAAGTGGGGTTTTTAAAGAAGAAAAGTCAATATAGACAACTTAAAGTTCAAAAAGTTATAGCATCCTGAAACCAGAGTAGGCTAAAAGCTTTCTGAAGTTATTTACCACCCAACAACAAAGAGACTGAAATATCAAACGGACAGCATGAGTATTAACATCAGGAGAAAAAAAAATACTCTTCATCCTAAGAAGTGGAGGCAAAAAGATAGTTGATAGAGTTGTGCTGTGTCAGGGGTCACAGGTTCTGTCATTTGAATTTCACTGTTTTTCTGTTTTGACTTAACTGTTACTTGGTGAAAACTGAAGCCTGCCCTCTAAAAATGTTCTGCTGGCTCAACTTTAAAAGAAATTGTCACAACAAATCATCTATCAACTGGTTCAACAAGCCAACACGATTTACTTTGACCTCCCAGGTTTAATGTGAACTRGTAATGATTTCCATTAAAGTTTATCACAGTAAATGAAAGACATAATAACAAGAAGAAGCGGTCAAACTTACACATCTATAAGTGAGTYAAAG